TGCTCAGGGTGGATAGCCCCAGGAAAAAGCTTTAGCTCTCCTTTTCTGGTCCACAGCTCCTGCTCTCAGTGCAGCAGCAGGGCTTTGACAAGAAACCCCAGAAATGTGTCGGGGTCATGACTGACGTTAGGAGGATGAGGGACACCTCCTTTTGTCTCTCTAGCAACGGCCTGCATCCAGGTATGGACTTCAGCTATATAAACCTCTTGCCACACATCCTGGTGGGCTCTTTAAGAACTGGATTAGTGGGAATTCAAGCCTAAGAGAACTATGCTGCATCAAACCATATTATATCTGCTCCACCTCTGCCTAAGCACTGGCTGAAGTAATGCTCTGGCAAAGGGCTCTGCAACAGCATGTCCTGTATCAGAGTTGCTCCATGGGCAGCCCTCAGCAATCTTTGCATTTGATATGAACCCTGTTAGTATAAAAACGGAAAAGCCATATTGGGTTAGTACTGGCTTGGGAAGTGTCATTACAGGATTCCCCCCTGCCTGGTGTCCTCCATCAGCATCCCTATAAAACACAAAAACAGTTATTACCAAAGCAAGTTCCCTCTCTGTCCAGCACAGCCTGTCATAGGAGTTCTGCAACCTGGGCTACGTCCTCACTGACACCTTCTCAACCTCAGAACCCTCCAAGGCTTTGCACAAGCACAACTGGTTGAACTTTCTGGTGAGGCACAGGAACACAGGCACTCTCATCCCACAGGAATTGCTATGGCCCTGTTGACATGGAGGCTTGTAGGTGGTGTTTCCAGAGCAGATTTCCCTCCCTCCTCACTGTGGAGGCTCTCCCTCGGGGCAGAAGCAATGGCTTTAGTCCACCCTCTCATCTGTGGCAAAAAAGCATCAGTCAGACAAGGAGAGGCTCTTATTTGACAGCTGGGAGGCAGGACGTAGCTGAAGAAAAAAAGGGGAACGCACCTAGAGCACATGACAGTAGTACGTGATATGTTCCAGAGATATGTGAAAATGACGGTTATGAAAGAGACAAGAGGGGAAGGGAGAGGGGAAAAAAAAAGGCCTTTTGGCCCACGTCCAGGGGGAAAGGTTCACTTCTGTCATCAAACTTAATGGTTCAGCCTAGGGAGAAATGCAAACGGCATCAGGTCCTCCCTTCCCGGAGAGGGAGAGCAGGGTCAAATGCAGCACCACCTTTCCTCTCCCTATGCATGCCATCTGCCTCAGCCTGACCCGAGGAGGGAGGTTGTCCTGAGCTGCCATTGTAGTCGGGTTCAAGGAGAACAGCAGTGGTCTGGTGATCACTGCATCATGTAGGGAATCAGAAGTACTTTTGCCTCAGGCAACACAGTAAGCTCAGTAGGAACCAGTTTTCATGCATCAGATATATAACATGGATGCCACACATCCCATTTGGCAACTCCCTCACGTATTGCAAGCCTCTGGACAAAAGGACTCCAAACTCTCTGGATCTGGCACAGCACTCACTTGGGCTTGAATTTAGACTTGCATTCTTGGCCAGCAGCCCCGAGTGCTGGGAAGGAAGCATCCTTATTCCCCCTCTCCTCCCACTTTTCCACTCCTGCCCCCGGACGGAAGGCATATTGGATCACTCTGTGAGAGAGGGAGTGCTCTTCTTCTGAAATAACACCCTCTGCACGGGCAGTTCTGCTGGTTCTGCTCTTCTCAATCCACCAGGAAAAAAATCTCTGCTGGAATCCTGTTCTGCTGAAATCAAAAGACAAAATGCAGCTGATTTCAGCAGAATTTTCCTTAAGAATAAAATCAGGAAAACAAAGAGTTCCTGATGGTATGCATTGAAGCATTTTAAAGAATGTTCGAAAGGCAACATTGCTGCTTTTTATTATTATTTCAAAGCTACTTTCATTTCAATTTTCAATCTCTTTGTATTGCATTAGATAAGCTGCAAAACTCAAAATCAAAGATTTCAGTCATTCCAAACAAAAAAAAACCAACCTATTTGAAAGTTAAAACCCAGAATATTTATAAATTTGCCAAATCAAATTCTGAGAAGTAAAAACGCTCTACAAAACAAAATCTAAGTATCAATTTTCACTGTCTGTATAAATATTAAACACTACTTGAATACAATTCTCAATCTGAGAAATCCCCTTGTGTAGATAAGCCTTTAGTACTAGGTAGGATGAGAAAAGTGCTGTAAAGTGACGTAAAAAGCTGCTATGTAAGTGTTGTAACTCCAGTAAGGGGCTTTACCAGTACAACACCTACATTTTTGAAAAAAATAGATATATTTTATCACCAATAAAAGTTTACAACTAAGGGAGAAGTTATCTGTACATCAGGATTTACAGGTTTAGGAATTATATAATCCTAAGTGATGTTTCCAGCATTAGTCCTCTAGACCACATGACTTTTCAAAACAGTCAAACAACTTCAGCATCCTATTAACTGTGTCCTCATGTGCATGTATGCAGTGCTATTGGTCTTACAGGTGTAAATTAGGGCAGGATTTAGTCCATGATATCCATATACCAAAAGAACAATTGCAAATTCTTAAAGGAGAGGGGGGAAAAAGGAGTCAATAGCCTTAAAAAAATTAGTGAGATTAGAGACAAAAGAAAAATAATTATGTTGACAAAAACAAAGCTATATGTTAACTTGACCCTAAATAAAATCTTAGATACTGGCTAGTAAGTTCTCTGTTGAAATCACTGAACCCAACACTAAAATAAAAGCCACTTTGGAGGGGGCAGCAGCTTTAAACCTACAGAAAGCAGCTTTACATACCAACCGCAGGCAGCGAGCAAAGATCACTGTGTTTAAGCAGAAACTGCAGGAAGTGGGTGGGTGGCAATAGCCATCCTCCACGCTAGAGTTTAGTGGGTGACCATTCCTGTGGCTGGTCCAGGAGAATATCCATGCTGTGGTGAGATACACTGCCAAGATGCACCCAGCTTTCAGGGCTCAGCAGCTGACTTTTTTTGCCAGGAACCAAAACAGAATTAGAAGAGCCAGAAATGAAAGGTGAGATCTTGGACCAAGTACAATAAACTTTGGATCCTGTACAAAAGTCACAGAGATCAGATGTCACCCAGTGATTAGGAGAAGATGGGGTAATACCAAAGAGAAGGAAGGCCAGCTATGTTAAGAGGAAGAAAACTCCTTCAATTATAGCCCAGATCTACAAGTCAGAAGATCTAGTTTATACTCTTGACAAAGCCGAAAACTTCCTGTGACATCTTAAGCAAACTCGTTTGCTCCTCGATACAACAGGATAATAATTTACACAGTACAGAGCTTTCCATTAACTGAGGTGCATAGACTGCTTGCAGCTCCCAAGGTGAAAAGTGCTCTTACCCTAAAACACGGCAACAAAACCCTCCTATCATCCATCTGCTGAACACAGTGGGAATGCTCCCAGTGGGGTACCACACACAGCCAGTTCCCACTGATGTAAAACATTTTAGTACTTGCTACTCAGTGCCATTTACAATAAGGTTCCTGCATACTGCTTCCTATCCCTTATAACCACCTCTACCACACCACATTCTTCATGAATGGAAACTATTCATACCATTATACTAGGAATAGCCAAGTAAACAGGAAAAAAAACCAGAAGATTTGCTAGCAGGTGCTATGGGAGGGGAGAAGGCTATGGTGATCAGCAACTTTGGCAGCTATGTAAATGGTACTAAGTGTGGCAATTTTGTTAACTACTTCACTGTCAAGAAAGTCAGAACCATGGGGATTCATATTTAGAGAAGGCTTTCTAACATACTGTTGGCTCTTATCTTAACCCAGCATTCTATGTGCTATTAATCATGGGCCATGACAGACATTATATCAGCATCAGCAGCAAGCAGAGTAGCAGAATATTCTGTGTGGAAAAAAAAAAAAAACAACAACCAAAACCCCACCATGAATAATGTCAGTTGTTCTACAGTTTCCAGCTTCCAGTTAGGGTTATTTGGCTCTGAGCTGATGAAAGCACTTTCAGAATATCAGCTGGAAGGAGGACAGCATCCAGATGTATTTGACAGGAGTAAAAACCTATGTAAGCCCTACGTTTCTTGTCTAAAAGTCACCCCCCCAAAATAGCTTGTGATCTAGTTATTTTTATTTAGAGAAGAGACTGTGCCTTGAGTTTGGATCAGAGTCCAAATTCCACTAGAGTTTCAGACTGTTATTAAGGTAGGATGCTCCTTTTTGGCCCAGTTCAGAAACAGGATGACCAGTAAGTTAGGGATCTTGTTTAGAGCCAGGCTCAGACATTAGGGGTGGTCCATTTTTACAGGTTTGTCTCATACTGTAAGAGAGCAGTGTTATATGAAAGGGAGAGTTTGTTTCTTGATGAAGGGAGAGTTTAAAAACTGTCCCCAGTTCCACGCTTCAGAAAGGCTGCAGGTTGTTTCTTGGTCGCTAGGAAGATTCTGCATCTCACCAGTCCTCAGAGGGTTACCATTTGATAAATAACAGCATGTTTCACTACCTGAAAATCATAGTGGTGGGTACTAACAGCCCTTCATGTTAAAGCACAGTCAGCAGACACACACATTTACCATGAGGCCACACACAGTATTATAGCTTGTTTCATTTTACCTGTGCATAGATCAAGGATTTTTTGACAGTTCTGTATTTTGGGATGTCAAAACCCTGTAGGAGCTACAGGATCTCTTAAAAACCACCTGCACCTTTTCTTCGTCCTTCCTCCCATTTCCAAATGATCCTTTGAGCACAGGAGTCTTCTTCATTGCCCCAACTGAATATTCTTAAAGATTTTATTATAACTTGCCAGTTCAGCTTTAACCACAGTGGTAGTAACATAATAATTAACACCAATTTCTTGTAAAGACTGTTAGGAAATTTGGACAATAGCGATCCCTAAGTTACCTGAGCTTCTACCACACTGTGTACCCACCCTAGAGCTCTTGTTTACAAAGGAGGCTGACACAGTTCCAAATATTCCATTTTAGTTGCTCGTGTAATAAACAGTTCTTCACACATATTTTATTCACATGCTTGGCACATGAAACAGGTGTAATATAGTCTACTCCAGTAGATGCGTCCGGTCCCAGACCCGTCTTCAGACCTGTAGGAGGCAATGCAGGAACTGTTTGGGCCTGTGGGTACATTCTGTGGGAAAGGATTCAGCCGCCTTCTTTCCTCTCTCACCTCTCCTCTCACTCAGGGCAAGCCAGTGCTAGTAAACAGCTCTCTCTTAAAGGTAAGGAATGTCAGTGGGTTAACAAACACCACCTTTTTCAGGACTTTATCTGAGAGGCTTCACCTGACAGATTAGGAAGACCTTGGACCACCTTTTCTAATAGCAGAGCAAGGGGTACAAGTGCCATCAACAGAGGATTGGTAGCAAGCATCTGGAATGGCTGTAGAATTTCCAACCAGCTCAGCTGTTTGAAAATAAATGTCTGTCCACAGCCTTATGGAACTGAGCTGGTACCTCTTCAGACATCCCTTACATAAATCTCTTGTACACTCAAGAGATTTATGATAAACACTTGCTCTTTCCTTAACCTTCAAAACCTTTTCCACCTGCTGAATAACACCAGATTCTTTCCTCTCACCCAGCCTGTTCACTATCTATAAAAAGCCTCTAGAGAAGATTCAGTGGCACCATGGACTGGCTTGTCAGCAGTACACACATGACACCCATCTCTCCATCATCTTCACCTCCCATGCAAATGACACCATTACCCAGCTCTTCAAGGGCTTGGCTAAGATCAGCAAATGAATGAAGTTGGCAGAAGCAAAATTGTTGTAAGAGCCTGGGCTGATGAAGATATAGGGAAGTATTTTACACTTTGATAATGTCCATTGCTGGCATTAAAGACTAACTAAAGATTTAATGTTCATCTGAACTCTATCATCCCAAAAACCCCAATAATGGTTGTTGTAAAAGCCTCAATCCTTCAGCACTATTTCCAGTCAGATAACCTGAAAGATTGGACTTGGCCCTATAACGCTTGATTTCTACAACCTAGTGGGTTTAGGAGTGACAACCCATACAAGAATGCATCAGGCCATTTATTCAGCAGCACAAGACCACCAAACACACTTAAGCTCTGTTCTTTGCTCTGTTAACTACTCAGTCCCAGCTTAAATTCAAGGCTTTGCCTTTATTTTTAAAGCCTTTATGACCTTAGCAAAAATTGATTTAAGGGCATCCACACTGTTGAAACCTGACAGTTATGTTGCTCTGTAACAAAATAAATAGCTACTTTGCAGGGTGTGTGCACCAGGGATAGAGATTCCCTACTGCCTAGTACATAACTATGGCCTCCTAATCACCTGCAAATGACAACCATACATCTTGAAAGTGCAGAAAAGAGAAGCTCCAGCTTTTCAACCCCCCCTTCCCATCTTTATTCCAAAACCATCAGCTTGAACAAATAGTCCATGACTGACAGACAGGATGAAGTCTGATTTCCAAGGGCACGCTCCAGTGGGAGCTCTCTGGTGCCTGATAAAAGGTGAGCTGAGCTGGTAGCACGTTGACGCTTCTAGCACAAACAGGCTCTCTCATGTACCCATCTGCCTCTCTCTTTCAACCTCACAGGAACTTCACTTTCAGATCTGTATTCTTTTGCCAACAGGCTCAAACATTTGGGGAGGTGGGGAGGGTACATGGAATCACATACACACACAGCATGAATTCGGAGGCATTGTTTTACTAGGAAAGAGTTATTGGCAAAAGTGCCGTATGTAAAAAATAGGAGAGGAAATGAGAGAGAGGAATGTCAAAGATGCCTTGTGTTCATTTTCATGAGCTCATAAAGTAATTGGAGGCAGACAGATAAAGGTATACAGGAACATCTGACGAGTCATTGCTTTCCAACACACCAGTAACAGCCAGGGACTCAGAACCTGGAGAGAATCAGACAAACATTTTTAAATGACAAATGAGTCACTAATGATAATCAGATCTAAAAGAAATTTATTTCCTCCTAAAACAAACCCAAAAGCTGCTTTTCAATTATGTGAGATCAAAACAAGACAAAAAGTCCAGAAGATACCATTGAAATACACCTGAATCTATGTCCCTAACTCACTGCTACATAGGGAGGGGATCTTAAGATTGCATTTCTATGTCACTTTTTCATTTCCTGACCACTGCTGGGTTGCAATACATCTAACTACATTTAAATTGCCTACCAAGCAAAGTAAGACAGAGGTACCTCAACAGGGGAACCAACCAGACATGTATCTATAAAATATTCGGTATAAATGCTCTGACAATGCAGAATTCTCATGAGGTATCTAGCATTCCATCAATCCCCCTGGATTTGCTGGTTTTGCCTGGAAGAAAAAACATGCATGTATGAACAGGGATGTCTGTTCAGAGACACTAAAACAGGTTTATAATACACCATGCTGTTTTCTTCAGCACAAAAATAAGCCCTAAAGAATGCATGTCAGGTAATTTTTTCTGAGAAAAACTGGCAATAACTGAGCATTTCAAATGCCAGTCAGACAGCTTTTCAAATGGTTAAAAGGTGCATGAAGGCTGAAAAGCTCAGAAGTCTTGCCAAGGTTGATAAGACTTTGCAGAATTTGTTAAACTAAAGTTTCCATTAAATTTTCACCACAACAACCATGCAACTTGACATCTGCCTAAATTTGTGCAGACCTTTGTGATAATCTGACAACAAGTAAATAATCAAGCAGATCATCAGAAGAGAAACTCAGAATCACTGAAGAGGCCCACTCAAAGACTATGCCTTGATGAGGTTGTATCTTGTCAGGCTTTTCTAGCTCTTGATTCCAGCAGCAACACTTGGGTTGGCACACTGTGTCAGAGAGCTAGTATTTTTGAATTACAGCTGAGAAGAGAAGCAAAAATTAGAAACAAAAATTATACTGGTTTAAATTTTTCATAAGGCAGCTAGCATCATCATAAAAGTGCCCAAATTTTACTGCAAACCAACCTCCTCCTCATTCTCTCCCAAAACTCTTATCTTCTTGTCTTTAACTGACAATTCAGAAAACTGTCAGAGTGCTGCTTCTTTCTGCCTTGTATCCTCTGCCACGCTTTGCACATGTGCTTATCCAGTAACAGCCATCACTAGTGAAATGGGATTACGTTCCACTGGTTAAGCGCATGAGCACAGCCCTGGGTGGGGCTGTTGGAGGATCAGCTTTTAATAAGGTGTCCAATTTATAATCTAGCAGCGTGAAGAGCAACTAGCTCTCAAGAATGAATAGCTCCTCTGTGTTACCATCTCCTGAGGCTGGATGCCGAGCCAGATCGCCTCATCCTTTCTTCTCTCTCTCTCTCTCACTTTCAGATGCTGTTACTATGCTCACTAACTTTTTGGTGTTTCCCAGACTGGAGATATAACGAGGAAGGAAGACAAGAAGTATCCACCCGTGTCTGGTCACACACTGTTTGAACAAACCCTCTGCTAGCTAAATAGGATATAAACCCTTCGTATTTACTTATTACAAGAAGGTTGCGTCTCAGCCTAGGATCCCGCTCTCGGGGACAACCTTTGTGCCAAGAGATGCCTTTAAAAGGGATGTTCTCCCCAACAGCCCCCGATCCGCGGGACTCCAGCCACCGCACGCAGCGTGCAGCCGAGGGGAGCAGAGAGGCGTGATGCCCGGGCTGATGCTCTCCCTGCTTTTGCCCCAAACCTCCCGGTGAAGCGGTGCCCGGCGGGGCGGGGCGTGCGCAGGCGGCGGGCGCGGCCCCGCCCCCGCGGCGGCGCGCACGGCGCAGCGCCCTCTGGCGGCGCGCGGGGGCCGCGCGGGGCAGCACCTGCCGCGCCCGCCCGCGGGGACCCCGAGGTCGCGCCCGTGGTTATCCTAAACCGGGTTTTAACGTGGCGCCGTTCGCTTACCGTGCAGGTCGGGAGAGGCCCGACCTTCTGCTGCAAAAAGACCCCGCAGGGAGGCGGTTGGCACACCGGTTCTGCAAAGGCTGGTGGTGGCACAGTCGAGCATCTCCCTGTCTCTCTTCTCCAAAGCGGTTCTCCGGCCGAGGATCCACCCTGCCACACGAGGCTTGTCATTGAGCCTCCCATACCTCCAGGAGACACAGTATTTCCTTTCCATGGAGATGATCTAATCCAACCTCTCACAAAGCACACATCTGCAGCATGCTGTGTTCACAGGAAGGACTTCTCAGGAACAACTGCTCCTTGGTGCCTACCGACCTCCTTTTATTCTGTCTCTGAGCTGGCACTGCATGGTGTAGAATGACTCTTTCCTGCCTGCAGCACTTAAACAAAAAAACCCTTCAAATACTTTCTGAAAGTACCACCTGAAAACTTTCCATCATTCCGTGCTTCCCCCCCTTGCCAAAGTGAAGTGAAAGGTGATACGACCAGCCAGTCAATCAATCTCTGTCAGGGGCATCTGGCTCCCGTAGGCTTTTTTATAGTAGGAGTCTGTTTCTAGGACCATTGGCTCTTCTGCAGCGGGATGCTGTTTTCCGGATCTGATTTAAGCTGAACTCCAAAAGACCACAGAGAAAGAAGAAGCAGGGAGTGTGCACTCAACTTCCCGGAAAAGACACCCAAACTGTTCTTACAGCCTTCTGCAACCTCACTCCATCCTCCCCAGCTTTCCAGCAATTGCCAGCACTATGGGCTCAGAGGGCATGGGAAGCAGCCTGCAGCTGGCCTGGGGAGCCTGCCTGGTTTGAGCAGTGTTTTCAATTAATAGCCTGCTCAGCAGCCACACTATGGTCTGAGAGAAATGCTAAGTGTTACTAGCAGTTTCTTGGTCCAAAATGTTTGGGAGAGCCACTGTTCTGTCCTCAACCTCACAGGGTCTTTGCATCTGGGAGGGATGCCTGGGATGGAGAACACAAAAGGACAAGCTGGACTGGAGTACCCATTATGCCATTGAAAAAAAATGAAAATAAGATGTCAACAACTTCTATGAGCCTAATTGTTTCTTCTCAAACAGATTGTTAGCTTATGTGAATCAGGGTAGCTCTACTGAGTAAACCAAAGAATGGAAGGGGGAGGGGGGGATAGTCTTGGTATCAGAAAGGCACAATATGGGCCTTAATCCACATCGATTGCTGGCTACTGAGTAACATTAACTTATTGCCACAACCCTTCCCACCACCACCAGATAGTGGCACTAAGAGAGATGAAGAGACACAGAGTGGCAAATAGTGAGACTGCATAGTTTCTGCAAACACCACCATGCAAGGCCACCTGAAGGACTGGACCTTCACTCCCTCTCTCTGCAACTCCTGCTCTTGCCCTGCTGCTCAGCTCTACCATTAAACCGAAACACAGAAAACTTAGCTGATTAAAAACCAGAAATGGTTATTTTCTGAGCCAGATTGCTTCCCTGATGTGTTCCACCCTACAGTCACATGTACTGTGGACCAGGTGTAAAGAAATACAATACAAGTGGTTCTTTCAGCATCAGTGCCAGCTTGAAGAGTTCATCAAACTGCAGCCTGGTGAAACACTGGGAAATCCCACAGAAAGCAAAAGAGGGGAAGCTGTACTTTAATTTGTGCAAAACACAGACAAAGATCAGGCAGTGAGTAAGTGATGCAAATGCGCCTAGTCAGATTTCTCCACTGGACCTTCAAGAGAAAAAGAGGTAAAACATCAAGCACAAAGGGCATCCTGACTTCTCCAAACACAAAATCAGGACAAGCTAAATCCTGTCCAATTGCACAACATTAAAGAGTGATTCTGTGCTCTTACCTTCTGCTAAGGGAACAGCAATGTTCTGACCTGCAGTGATTTATGTGCAGCAAATTAATGCCATAAACAAGTGAGAGGAACCAAAATCTCATGCCCTAATCCTTCAAAGCAAAACCAAATTCTTTATGGGCAGCACGATTGCTGATGAAGGAGGTAATGTTTATCCTTATTTGAATCCAATAAAAACATCCAAACAAGAGAAACAATGCTCAAAGAGCTCTTCTCCGTTACATGTGCAAATAATGTTTAAAAAAAAAAATAATAATTACTTCACATGCTTTACAAATACTAATTAATTTAGCCTGATGTCTCCCCAGCTGGACAGGTGTTACTACCTCCAGTGAACATATGAGCAAGCTGAGTAAGACAGATTTGGCCCTGTTTTTTTAAGTAGCATCTAATTTTCAGTGCAATTCCGTGTACAGGCAGCTTCTGTTAATTTTGGCTAGAGCTGTAAGTGATTAATACATGTGCAAGACAGATTCTGGGTATCTCAAGCTACAGGGCTAAAATTAAAGACCATGCTTGAAAATGTGATCTTAAAGGACTTGCCCTTGGCTGGGCAAGACAAGGAATCTGTTGCAGGATCAGGAAAATAAGCCAAGTTTTCAGATTCCTTGGGGCTTGTCTCCACAAGAAATGCAGGGAAGCAACGCAAAATTGCAGCATGCCAGAAACATTCTCCTCAGGTGGACCCTTCAGTGTTCACTGCTTTCGAAGAGCAAATTTTAACACCACCATAAATTCATCCTTTCCCCCCCAAACACAGAGAGACTCACTTCTCACTTAGCACTGAATACTGTAGCTTGTTGCCACTTTCTAAACTGAAAGGTGATGGTGACAAGAGAAGGATGTGGTGACTCCAGGGTAGCAATAAGAAAGCCAAGGGTAAAGTTTCACTTTGATTTCAGCAGAAAGCTTCCCCATAAAGATGTTTTGGTTTGCAATCAGCGATGAAGTACTTACCTGCATTTCAAAGAGGAGTGAGCTTCCTTCCACTTAGCATACTCAAGATCATGTCTACTGATTTTAAGAAGAGACACGGATGATCTGAATAGTTGCCCCCGTTAGCTGGAGCTCAGTGCCAGCCCAAAGGAGGAGCTGTGTGGTTTCATGCTAGAAATAAGCAGCATTTCTCTCTGCAATAAATCCTCTAGAGATAATCTAACAATGTCTACAAAGGAGACTGGGGTACAGATGCACATCCTCCCAAGCTGAGATGCTGGTGGAAAAGTCTATTGTCTCAGCCTGTGGCTTCAGGTCTGTTTTGCTCAACTGTGTTTGAATCCTTCTCACATATTTTCAGTCTGAACGAGGTAGGTTAGAGGTGACTTCAGTATTATAAGCTACCACCCAATGCAAGACAGGAAGGGGTCAACCCACAGCTTATTCCCTGGATCTGAAGCAGCAGGAACCTCCGATACCAGGGAAGAGCTGGAGACAGAAATTTCTTCCACAGCCTACATGAACTGTTTGGACTGAAGCAGAGCCCTTTGGTGTAGCTCCCCCTCATCCCTCACATGCACACACAGAGACTTACACCTGCTGTCCCATGACACCAAGCTAAGTGTTTGTGTAGCTAAGATCTAAAGACTTTTTTTAAGGATCTTTGGGCTAAAAAAACCCTACCATGCACTCTCCCTGAAAAGCATGTATTTTCTTTTGAGTGGATCATTTCACAGAACTAGTTTAAAGGGCAGCTAGACAAACAGCTGTATCAGCACAGCCGATGAAGCAGTAACCTGGGGCAGCAGAGAAGGAGCCGACCAGAGCAGCCACCTCGCTCAGTTGAAAACTAGAGCAGGTTGTCTGACTGTGGCCCAGCTCTCCCAGTACTTTCCAAAGTGTATGTTCTGGTTAGAATTGGGTTTGTGGTGTTCTCGATTTTTTTTTCCTTATGTTTCCTAAGGAAATTCAGTTTATGCGATTGCTCTGTCCCTCAGTTTTCCTGTAATCTGTTTCAATTCTGCTGTGCACTCTCAGTCAAATCTGAAAGAATTCGAAAACACCATGACCCTCTAAATCAGTCACTGTCTGGGTAGAAGCCCAAACTTGTGTACCCTGCAAGCAGAAAAGCAGGCAGAACTCAGCTGCTAGCCAGTGCTGCTGGTTAGCTGACACACAGCTCTGGCCTATGCCTTCAGAGGGGCAGAGAGGGAGCTGAAGTGGTGAACTTGATGTTCATCATGCAAGGCCAGGCTTTGTCACTATGATTGCTCATGCACAGACTGCCTAAATCCAGACCTCAAAACTTATGGCATGCAGACTTCATGTGCTTTAAAATATAGCGTCCTGTCAGAAGTTCCTACTATAAGTCATTAAAATGTAGTTAGTACTTTTAAATCCATCGAGTGATTTCTGTATCAGGCTATTGTAAGATTAATTGTCTTAACTACACAAGTAGTACAGATATTCTTAGTGAAAGAGGTGATACTTACTTCTGTTCAGGGGTTCAGTTGTACCACTTGTGCAATATGATGCCTGATACTGTATTTATATTGCTAAAATGCATTTTCTGAGGGGAAGCTCAACACAGAGATGAATTGCATCTAACATGAGAGGAAAAAAAATAACTTGTCATCCAGATAGGTTATTTGCTGATCTATAAATCCGAGAGAACAACAATGCATACTGTATTCCTGCCTGTTCCCACACACTCCTTCTTGTCATCGCAAGAGGTCTTTAGTACCCTGAAATATAGCTTGACAATAAAAATTAATTGAAAGTGCGCTAGAATCATTAACTTTCAGAGCTTCATAGTTTGCCCATCCTTAAATAATGCTGGTTATAAAATCCTGTTTGCGCTACAATTTCTTGGCTCTCTGCCATGTAGCATGTACAGAAATCAGCAATATGTGCAGCAGGGACTTAGCTGGCTGTAATACGAATGCACATAATAGACTTTCTTCTTTAGCTCAGCAGCAAAACATTGACTCAGATCTTGAGACCAGTTATAGTCCCAGCGGTGTTTACTCTGTGTAATTAGCAGTATCAAGTGTGTTGTCTTTTGGGTAGCCTGATTGTTTCCATATGCACGTGTACCTTCTGTGAATGCAGACAGGGCAAGAGGCAGACAGCATTCAGAGTGCATGCATTACGGGAAGCACATATGTTTTAAATACATTATCTCTACAATTAAGAAGAGTTTAGAAACTGGTCATATAAATCTTAGAAAATGCGGCCAGCAGAGAAAGAAAAAGACTTTCTTTCCAAGCAAGAATTTTGCCTGGGTAACTATTGGTACCCAGGTCCCCAAGATGGTGCAGACATCTCCCTGCTTGCTGGTGGGAGAGCAGCACGAATCAGTAGCTCACGCATTGCTCCAGGAGCAAGAAGGCTGTTGACGCTGTGCTGGGGCCTGGAGGAAGATCGGGCTGGCATTCGAGGTGGGGCGTGCCTGGGAATGCTGCACCACATTCATCTTAGGGGCAGGTACTTGCTGA